CTATGCAAGAAAAATGTAGATTTTTAATATCCCAATTGTGATTTAAATATTCAGAATGTTTGACAGACGTAACTGAACCATGCAGTGTCACATACTATAAATGGAGTTACTATACAGAAACAGTGTACAGTAAGATATGGTTGCTGGTATCTTAGTAATAAGTGCATCAATCTAAGGTTGGGTAGTAGTTTCAACAGATATCATGTTTACTACTCTAAAACCTATTGAAATGAATTGCATATGCACACCATTGATTTCATTAGGTAGTAATAATAAAATTTAATTGGCTGTTCTTTGTATAGTAATATCACCTACAAAACGACAAAAAAAAAAAATCAAGGATATTTGACAGAGCATAGACCAGTTCTCAGAACAGAAGGCTTTTTTTATTCTGCCTTTAACTCACTCCCTACTGGTCTAGGGCTTGGTTCCCTGACTAAGCGTGATGTTAGTTTACTACAGGCGCTGCAACCCTAGACACAACAGGGTAAGGTAAGGACAGAGTAAGATTGCCTTTGTATTGAAGGTCCAGTGATAAAAGATCATCATGAGCTCCAAATTTGAGAGCATAACTCAGATTTCTAATGTTATTTTAATGTATTTATGGTAAAAGAAGGCAGCTTTTCTCCTTATGCTGTACCTGCTGCTGCACTACCAAGCAATGCTCCTTGTATGGTACAGGGGGGGCATACAGGGACAGGGAAAAGAGCAGCATGCTAGGTTAGATGAATTACTGACAAAACTGCTTTAAAGTCAAAATTCATCATGTGAAAATGAAACAGCAAGGTGCATTAAAATAGCATTTTAATCACATTTGTGTTGGTTTGCAGCTTTGTTCACACTTGCATTTTAGTAAAAAGGAAAATCTAAACAATAGTAAGATTTCTAAAATAATTCTGTGTCAACATGCCTTTTTCACCTGAAACAGCATAAAAATCATGCCACATCCCATGCCACTGTCCAAAAGCAAGTGATATCTGAGAATAAGAGCTTCCCCATGATTTACAACTAAATCTAGATATATTAATCATTCATCTTACTCTCAACAACATATACAGCCACAAAATAAAAATCTCTAGTCTTTACTTACCTGGTGGTAACTGAAAGTTCTGAATATTAGTTGGATTCTGAGGTGCCTGAGGCAGACGAGGTGCTAAAACTGTAGGAGTTAAAGTTGCTCTGATACCACTTGTAGTTGCTGTTGGAGTCCTTGGCAGACTTTGTGCCACTGTACTGGCAGTGCCCTTAACCATTCCTGTAGGGGTACCAGGAGCTGCAGGAGGTATCCCACCGGGATTGGGGGCCACATTGGAGAGCCCAGCTTGCATAGTTTGCCCAATTATCATATTACCCCCTGTAGTACTGGGCTGGCCACTAGCAACTAGTGTCTGCTGCTGGGATACTGCATGCACTATAGTTTTAGGAGACTCCGATTTGATGACCTGTGTGGTGGGTGCTGCCGGCACACTGGAACCAGGCTGGCTGTTCACAAGTGATGTTTGGAGGGAAACTCCAGAACCCACAGTGACTGCAGCAACAGCAGGAAAACTCCCCACACCGATGGCTGAATTGATCACAGTATTGCTCCCATTCTGGGTGGCTGCAGCAGCTGCAGCAACCGTGGGTCCTGCTGTGTGAATTGGTGGCCTCACCAGTGCTACAGTAGGCCCCCCACCTACAATGCTTGGTGGCGGTTGCGAAGAGATTACTGTGGGTGATGAGGAGGAGGCGGAGGACACAGCAGTGCTGAGGAAAGAAGTCTGGATGACAGTGTTAGAAGCTGATGGCAAAACAGCATTAACTGTATTTCCTTTCCCCACAGATCCAGGTCCATTGTTAACTAGAGGGGCAACAGCAGGTGCAGCAGCAGGATTAGCAGTTGCAGGAGTCCCAGAGAAAGCAGCACTTCCCGAATGGTGAGAGTTCATCACCACGTTACTCCCATTCAAAGTTTGCACCGTTGTGGTCCCAATTTTGCCATTCCTGGTGGATAAGGCAGTTGCCATGGTACTGATAACCACTGATTTGCCCTGACTGAGGGTCCCTGGAGCAGCAGCAGCTTCAGATCCTCCTCCTGCTGCTGCTGCTGCGGTGGTGGTGCTGGTGCTGGTTGTAGTGACTCCATCCAGAGCTGAACTCTGGGACCTGGTGTTATGATTAATAACGCCCCCTTGCACTCCTCCAGCTCCTGAAACAACAACAAGGTTCAAAGGAGAGAATGTGCAGGAGGGGAAAACAAATGTAGAGGGAGTGTGCTCCTCCACCCTCCCAATCCTTCTTCACCCCCCATACTGCATGCATTGAGACAAGAAAAAAGGGGTTGAAAATACAAGTCCTCTTCCTCTGTGTAAAGAGGTTACCCTGAGGCCCATTTATTTCCCATACTGACACCTGGCAGCAGTGATATTAATTATAGCACCCCCTTGAACAAGAGAAAAAAGGGAAGATAGACACACAACAAGATAGGATCTGGACAATAAAGGGGGTTGAGGGTGCTTCTTTTCCCTACACTTCCTTCTCTCCCCCATTCCAGGGCCTGACATTATGTTTAACAACATCCTTTGCACTCCAGTTCCTGCAACGGGGTGGGGGTGGGGGGAGGAGAAGAGTGGGGAAGACATCAGTAAAGAGTTCTCTCTATGCCCTCTATACCTTGCACACTCTACCCCCAATCCTTTCATCTCCTATAGTAGAACCTAGTAGTAGTATCATGGAGTTCAACTAGTACAACAGTGTAAAAAGTAGGGGGTGAGAGCTGTCAATCTGACAAAGAAAAAGTTGCCATAAGAGGACTTCGTCCATACCAGGGCCTGCTGTTGTGATTCTGCTCCTCAAGCTCCCACAACCATAAAGAAAAATATGGGGAGAAAACAGACTTGGACACTGAGGACACTACAATGTGGCCTCCTGCCCTGAGACCTCCTCATCCCGCTTTAATGAGGCCTGGTATCATGATTAACACCAGCTTGGCAGTCCAGGTCCTGAATTAAGGAAAGAGAAATGAGAAGGGAGCTGTCACAGATAACCCTTATAATGTGTGTCTCAGTAGCTAAGAGGACCCTCCTGTAAGATCCTCATTACAGACCTGCTATTATTAATGTCAGCATCCTCTTACATTTCAGCAACAAGAAGCAGAGAAAAGTGGGGGGGGGAGGGGAGAAACCAGAATCACAGATAGATAGTGGGCAGATAAGGATATTTTTCCCTTCCCTAAAAACAACCTCCCACCCATTCTCAAAGTGAGACCTAATATTACGATTAACATCATTCCCTTATAACCCAGCTCCTCCATCAAGGGGGCAAACGTTCACAGATAGATATAGAGAAGACATTCTAAGGAGGAGGTTAGGAGTTGTGCCCTGAATCCTCCCCCCAATACTAGGACCTTATGTTGCCACAACACCCCCTTGAGGAAAAAAGAGGAATGAAAGGTGTTGAATGCCCCCTCCAAGCTCCTGCTACAAGAGGGGCAAGGGGGAATATCCAGATAGATATGGAGGGAGGCATTTTTAGGGGCTTCTTTCCCTTGAAATCCCTCCTCACTTCCTCCTCTACAGGAAACGGGTGTCATGATTAATAACACCCCTTTGCACTTCAGCAACAGAGAAGGGGGAGGGGAAGGAGCACTCAGACAGAGATTGGAAGGCACTATTAAGTGGGAATCCCCCCCAATAAACCCCACAATCCAATGTATACCAGCAACAGGGAAGGCAGAGGGACATTCAAACAAACTGGGGGAAAGCCATTACCAAAGAGATAGTTACCCCCCACTGGTCCACCCCCCTTGACCCTATGATTAATAGCACCCTTTTACATTCCAGCAACAAGGTAAGGGGGAAAAAAAGAGAGACTGATAAGCCATCAGTGTCTGTTTATGGCTCTATCATGGGGGGCAGTATCCCCATATGACAAGAAACACCTCATCTACACCCCAGGAGCAAGGAGGGGGAGGAGGAGCACAGTCAGACATATACTAAAGGGCCTGGTGTGGGGGGGGCTCTCCCCAATAGGATTTATACCACCCCTTGCACTCCAGCTCTTGCCACAACAACAAGGAGGAGGAGAGAGGGAAAAGGGGGGAAAGCAGTAAGGGAGGGAGGCAGTCAGAGCTTGGGAGTGGGGGGAGGGGAGGCCCCTTTCCCAGAGAGCCCCCCACCCCTGCCCAGGTTACCTGCTTTTGTGATCTCTGGGGCACTGAGTCCCATCTTGCTGCTGCTGCTGCTGCTCTCTGTTTGGACATTAGCATTGCCTCCTACTACTACTCCTCCAGGGCTAGGGCTAGGGCTGCTGCTGCTACTGCTGCTCACAACATGGTTCCCCAGCAGCCCCCCAGCGGCCCTGAGGGGCTCCTGCGCCTTGTGGTGCTGGTGGTGATGGCCGGAGGCCGCCAGCTGGGACTCCAGGGAGCCCACCAGGTCGCTCACCACCTTCTCATCCACCTCCGTGTTCAGGAAAACCTCATCCAGCAGATCCGAGCCCGCCGCCATCTTTTTTTTGGAGGGTTCCTGTGAGCTGCTCCCTCCTCCCCTTTCACTCCTCCCTCCCACCCCCCCACACACGCTGCCCTATCACTGCGCAGGCGCGCAGGCCTAGGCTCACATCACCGGCCGGAGAGGGATTCCGCTCGCTGATGATTGGCCGCCAGCCGCCTATAAAAGCCAGGGCAAATGGCTGCGAAGGTTTAGTTAGGAGTCGGGCTGCGGCGGCCCGGACGCGACGCTGCAGGAGCAGCGGGGGTAGAAGGTTGGGGGGGGTGGCTGGACAGGGATGGTGGCGAGGCTAGTTCGAGCCGCGGGGGAGAACGGGGGCCGCACGCGGGGAGGGGACGGAGGGTGAAGAAGGCAGCTCTTTGTCCGCCTGAGCCCAAGATGGCTGCATGTTTCCCTGCTGCTCCCTGCGTCTGGCCCTTGTCGCTGGAGCGAGTCTGAAGGGCGCCCCACACCTGTGCCAGCTGCGTGTAACTGATCCACCGGGGGGGGGCGGGGAGGAGACGCGGTTCGGGCCCCACGCCCAGCCGCGGGAGGGGGCAGCGAGCAGCAGCCGTTGGGGGGCCAGGGGCAAAGAGCCCCCGGAGAGGCAGCGTCGCCCAGGCGGGCTCTGGGGGGGGCAGGACGGGTAGCCGCGACCCTCTCCTCGAGGATGGGGCAGGCTCTTTCCCAGCGCCTGTGCTGCCTGCCTCCCCTCGCTGCGGAGCGGCCCTGGGGAGAAGGCGAGCCTGGCTGGAGGCGCGGGGCTGTGCTGCGGCTTCCCACCTGGGCTCCACAGGAAAGCAACAACCCTTTGCCTTTTCCCCCTCGGTCAGTAAGTGTCGCTGCTCCGCGGGGATTTCAAACGCCTCTCGGGGCTACTGGAGCGCCTCTGCTCCCGGCCACAGCTCACTGCCCCGGTGGCTGGGCCAGCTGCGCTCCTGGAGCGGGGAGTGGGACGGAGCGGAGGAGGGCGCGTTAGGAAGGTGAGGGCGCCACTAATCGATGGGCAAGGCAAGGTGCTGTCGCGCTTCCCTGAAAGTGAATTTAGGAAACTGACTCAGCAGACTGGGGGCCTCGGGGTGGGCAGTCCCTTCAACCAGACAGGCTAGAATAAATGAGCGCTGCGAATGCGTATACAAGGGGGAAGGGATTGGGGTACTTGGATTTAAATCCTGGAAAAAGAAACTGGGAGGTGGCTGTGTTGAAAGCTCAACAGCAAAGTGGGGGGGGGGCGGGCTTAGTCAAACGTCTCAACTGTTAAACATCTTATCCACAACTTCAGCCTTTCAGAGGAAACTAAAGCTTTGAATCCAGAGCAGCTACAGTTTAACAAAGAATGCACCGTTGTGACTTAATCAAACTGGAAATGCTATTCCACATTACAGCCAGAGAAATGCATTGAGCTGTGGTCAAGTGAAAAATTCTCTAAGTTCTATTTTGAACCGTACTGGAGGGGATGGTACCCATTTAGTTTATAAACCCTTCCCACAAGTGCTTGGAGGGGACAGTAGTCTTTAACAATACTGAATCGTAGTAGATATGCTTCTTAGTGATCACTAATCTCAGAGATACTAGAAATTGCATTTGAACATTGTGTATCCTCATAAGCAAGAAAGCTAAGGTAAAAATGCAGCCTGTCCTTTAACTGTGATAAGTTATTTACTGAACACTACCTTCATTGTCCAGAGTAACATTAATTGCAAGATAAAAGTGACTGGACACTAGAGCAGGAATTTTATGCTACTGCTCATTAAAAGGTAGGCAAGTTAAGGTAGTAACAACTTGTTTAAATATTACAGATCAAGGTTTGCCTTACCTCTGTTTTGTTGTTCACTTGGAGTGGCTAGAACTTAATGATGTTGAAATTTGCTGCACTAGGATAGGACTCGGATCCTGTGTAGTTCATTATTGTTTAACAGTGTGTGGATCTTCATGTCCTAATGAGTCATGATGGGCTGCAAAGGTGGAGACATGTCAGAGTGACACTCAAATTTTCTCCAAGGCTTCTCTACTTCAAATAGGCTAGAGACAGAATTGTACACTTATAAATTCCTCAGTATTAGGGTATCATTACTTTCTGTATTATCTTCTGTGATCCATGTAGCCAGCACTTCTGTTACATGAAGTGAGTCACTTGAGCAATGTTTAGCTGTTAGGAGACAAGAAGGAAAAAAGAACAGAAAAATCCTTTGTGTATCTTAGTCACAAATGCCCCTCCCTAAAATCAGCTGGCCAATCTTATAAAATGGTAAAGTCAGCTATCCACATTCATGTGAAGGGAAGACAGACAATTAACTGTCTTACTCCCAAGTAAGCATGTTTGCAATTAATATTTGCCTTAAGAGGTACTGGATCTCTTAGGAATACATTGCTTATGGTTGTAAAGTCTTGCTTCTGCTGCTCTTCTGCTTCCAAAATTAGTGACATCAATTTTTCCCCTGTTAATAGTTGGAGATATTTATTCATATTGCAGAACTTTCTATGTTGTGGTTCTTATTCTTCCCTCCCAAACAGCCCTTATTAGAATTCTAATCTCTTCACAAAGAATTTTAAAAAGCACTAAAAGTGGTTTTCTCACTTCTTCAGACATTTGAATGTATTAATCAGTGTCTAAATTCCCCTAGCCGAACAGGTCAGTTAACTAGCCTTTGAAATGAATAAATGTATCTTTTTATCCTCGTTTTCAATGATTTGATATAAACTTGTCATCCACCATTTCAACACCAGCCTGAAAGGAGGAGCAAAGAAAGGACCTGTTTCTTCATACATCTTCCAAGCTTTATTTCTAATCCATATTGGCTGAACTAATCAATATTGGTTGAACAGAATAGCTGTAGTATTCTAAAGATAAGTATCATCCTAGGGCTTGTTGCTCAATTCCAGCAATAAAAACATAAGACTAGCCATACTGGGCCAGACCAAAGGTCCATCTAGCCCAGTATCTTGTCTTCCAACAATGGCCTATGCTAGGTGCCCCAGAGGAAATTAACAGAACAGGTAATAGAGTGATCCATCCCCTATCACCCATTGCCAGCTTCTGGCAAACAGAGGCTAGGGACACCCATCCATGAACTTATCTAGTTCTTTTTGAACCCTGTTACAGTCTTGGCCTTCACAACATCCTCTGGCAAGGAGTTCCACAGGTTGACTGTGCATTGTGTGAAAAAATACTTCCTTTTGTTTGTTTTAAATCTGCTGCCTATTAATTTCATTTGGTGACCCCTAGTTCTTGTGTTATGAGTAAATAACACTTTCTTATTTACTTTCTCCACACCAGTCATGATTTTATAGACCTCTATTATATCCCCCCCTTTAGTTGTCTCTTTTCCAAGCTGAAAAGTCCCAGTCTTATTAATCTCTCCTCATATGGCACGTTCCAGACCCCTAATCATTTTTGTTGCCCTTTTCTGAACCTTTTCCAATTCCAATATAGCTTTCTTGAGATGGGGGCAACCACATCTGCACGCAGCATGGATTTATATAGAGGCAATATATTTTCTGTCTTAGCTATCCCTTTCTTAATGATTCCCAACATTCTTTTGTTTGTTTTGACCGCCACTGCACATTGAGTGAATGTTTTCAAGAGAACTATCCACAGTGACTCCAAGATCTTTCTTGAGTGGTAACAGCTAATTTAGACCATTATTTTATATGTATAGATGGGATGATGTTTTCCAATGTGCATTACTTTGCATTTATCAACAACAATGCTGTGGCAGGGCAGCTCTCCTTTTAAATGCCTCTTTTACAAGTGAATGGTACCTTCCCATGCTGCTGCCTTAGGTAGGCATACCTCCATCTAGGCATTACCCCCATTAAAGCTCTTTCCAATTCAGTTAATCAAAAAGGGGCAGGAGTAGAGGTCCAAGTACATCCCAGAAATGGGATAGTGATTATTAGCTTATAGCAGCTGCCAGAATGGCTCCAAGGACATAAGAAGACAGATGTAAACTATAGCAGCCCATATCATGTCAGGATGACAAAGGTAGCCAAAATAAGGCTGTTTGCCTACCTGGGCTGAGTAGAGCCCCAGGTTGTAGCCATAATGGAAAAAGGTGAAAATGAGCAATGGAGGGGGAGAATTGGGGTAAGAGGGAAGAACTTAAGTAAAAGCAGAATTAAAATAGCAATAGGGACGTACGGAATCACTAAATGACAGTATTGTGGTCAGCAACCAGGGAGGAGCAGATGACATCTGATTTAAGGACATGGCAAGCTAGCAGGACTCTACATTCTTCTACTGCCATTGTTTTTAGGGCAGTTAGACCCTAGCTTATGGTCACATGGGCCCAGATCCACAAAAGGTACATAGGTGCCTAAGTTCCTGTTTTGACTCCACAAAACTACTGTCAAACCAGGTAGGCACTTAAGTTTTCAAAGTAAAAGTTTCCCAGACATCTGTGTTTGTCTCTGGACATACACACAGGTACCTTCTTGTAGGCATCTGGCTGCCCGTCTCCTCGCTAAACCCCAGAAGGATTCATGACTGCTTAAATTGCAGGCAGGGCCCAATCCAGTAGGCATGCTCAGAGGCTGCTTACCAGAGTGGATCCCATTCAAAATCTGACCAGAGGAGAAGGTGCTGCTCACCTTAACTTTTAGTCCAGTGGTGAGCGCATTGGACCCGCTCTGGAAGAAAGGGGGGAAATTGAACCTGGGTCTCCAACATACTATGCAAGTGTTCTAACTAAAAGTTAAGGTGGGACACACACACCAGCTGTTTTATGCAAAGTAAGGCTGGCACCTAACTCCTCTCAAGAAACAGCTTAGGAACCTAAGCCACTTTATTCCAGCCAGCAGGTTCCCATTTGTGGATTGCTAAGAAGAGCCAGATACCTCCCCTGCAGTCTAGACTTAGATGCCTATCTCAGAGAGGAGCAGAGCTTAGCACATACCCCCTCTGGTCAGCATCTCCCATTGGCTAGCTTAGGCAGTTCCCCACCAAGTGGAATGACTTTTGTGGATCACATTCTTAGGTGCCTGTGCACCTAAACTCAGGCTTTGTGGATTTCAGTATTCATGTGATTTTTCTAAGTGCCTAACAGGCACTTTGATGCTGTTAGGCACTGCAACCCATAAATCCCTTTGTGGATCCAACCCATAGTGAATCAGAAATAAAATCCAGAAGTCTTCATTCTCAGAGCCTTGTTTTAAACACTTGACAAGGCTCCTATCATATGGTAATAACTACCCTATTGGGTAAGTAACGGCAATACAAAATTTCGATAGAAACCCATTTAACTTGTATATTACGCTATAAGCAATCCTACAAGCTCCTGTCCTTTCACTCTCCCTGCATGGTTTGTTTTTCAGTGGACGCCATTTATTACATCGGGTGTTTAGAGTATGAGCCATTCAGTGTAGGGAACCATGCCTTCTCTATGTTCTGTGATGTGCCTACTGCTCTTTTGGATGCTATAAAACAATAAACAGACTTTAAAATCAGAATCACAGTGGGAATTTCCTTGTAATACATTACTCATTTTTGGTGCCACTGCCTAAAGTCCAAAATTCTATGTACAGTAAGAACTACACAGTCCACCTCACAATTAAAAAGGAAAGTCTTCACCTCAGTCTGCAAGGATCAATCGTACAGGTGAACCATGGAAATTGTTGATGGGAAGGACTGGAATATCAGTCCTGCATCTTTGACCCAAAGCCTTGCTTTGTGCTCACAAAAGTGTACCTTTATAATGTACTCCCCCTCTTAATTGCAGTTATAGCACAGAGTGACTGATCCTATATTATTTAAAGCTTTAAATACTAAAAGCAAGTTCCCTTCAGACAACCTGCAAAGATCATAGCACATAGGTGTTACCATATGAGGCTGAA